TTATTTTCAAAATGTGAACGCATTTCAAGTACATAAAAGTTTTGAAAACTATTTCTTTTGCTAATACGCACGTCATGTCATTGTTCGCTCGAATTTATCGTTTATCTACGGGTTAGTCTTCTCCACAACAAATTGTGTGCTATTGAAATATAATTAGTACTTATGTATTCTTCGTCGTAGACGTGTTTGAGTGACAATTTATGCGATGGTTAAAATTAAGTTGTCATGTCTGTTTCTGTGCGTTATCGGGTTCTCGATCATTACATTGCTGTGCTTGTATCTCCCCGACAAGCCAATTGCCTATAACATTGGTAGGTTGTCAGCACTCAATGCAAGTATTTTACTTGGAAGTCATTCGGTTCAACTGTTTCAAACAAAGTAAGTCAAATTTGCAAAGTATTTTATTTTTACATGCCCAACATAATTATTAATTGCTATAAATATTATTACATTATTACAAACATATTTCTTACTAAAATGTTATTGCGTACAGGAAAAATGAAGAAGTGGTTATAGCTGTTGTGATTTGTGGAAATCGTACGACTGAAGCATTGGTCATGATTAAATCAGCAATTGTCTTTCGAGGTAATTCAGATTTGAGAATTGTTGTGATTGCTGAGAAAAACATTCAACAAGAATTCGATGACACTGTGAGTATTGTTTGACACAAATGGTACTACTACTGTCATAAAAAATATAAAATATAATATGTATTGTTTATGGACTATGGCTTGTGTTTTAGTTACGAGATTGGAGACTATTGACTAATGATTCATTTTCATACGAGATACACAGTATTATCTTTCCTAAAGAACACTCTGATGAATGGAGAAAACTATTTCAGCCATGTGCATCTGAACGTCTTTTTTTGCCTGTAAATAAAGTTCAAATTGATATCTTAATATATTATAACATTTTTAATTTTTTTTTAATTTTAAATTTCAGTCAGTTTTAAATCATTTAGACTCAATTCTCTACGTCGACACTGATACCTTATTCCTAAATAACGTGGAAGATGTATGGAAACATTTTTCTCTAATGAATTCTTCTCAATTGGCAGCAATGGTACCCGAACATGAGGACTTGAATGTTGGGTGGTACAATAGATTTGCCAATCATCCATATTATGGAAAATTAGGTTAGTGTTACTGTATAAAATGTGTCGCCAGATAATATACAATATATACATTTTAGGATTGAATTCGGGTGTAATGTTAATGAATCTCACCCGTATGAGGGAATTTGATTGGATAAGTCGACTAGCACCTATTTTAGAAAAATATAGGCTATACCTTACTTGGGGAGATCAAGATATTATAAATGTTATTTTTCACGACCATCCAGGTAAATCTATCTTTTAGCTATTTTTAGTATATTTTTAACATTATTGCTATGATTTATTTTAGATAAAGTTTATGTATATCCTTGTCGATATAATTATCGTTCTGATCATTGTATGTATATGAGCAACTGCAAGTCGGCTGAAGAAGATGGAGTGGCAGTACTTCATGGATCACGTTCTACATTTCAGACAAATAAACAGCCTGCATTCCGAGCATTATTTAATGCCATGTCCCAAGTATGAACTATTTCAAAATTATTACAAAATAATTTGGTTTATTAAAATACATTTTTGTTATAGTATCAACTTGGTAGTGATCCAGTTAAATATCTCCTGGAGGCATCTGCCAGTCTACTGAATGAGACTACATCGACAAATTGTGGACATCTTGCTCCTATATTTACACATAATATGAGACTTATGTTTCAAACAGTATGACAAAATCAATGTGCTAATATTATTTATGGTATCAAAAAAAAAAAACAAAAAAAAATGGCAAATGATGTATTAAACTGATACTAATAATTTTGTGTCATGAAGTACTAAAAATATATTTTTATTTATTTGAATTAATTTAGTTAATATGTTAAACAAAATAAGATCTCAAATAATTTAAATATTTTTCTATTGATATTTTATTTTTAGTTGAAACATAGTTTAAAAATATTTTCATCATATATTCTGCTAGTGTATACTAAATTATCTATTTAACACCATATTATGACGTTAATACCAAATTCAGAAATGTTTTAATCTTTTCAAATTTTAATTTATTTTTGTTAAAATTATACATTTATTTATTATACATAGTTTAAGTACTTATGTATTTATACACATATTTTATTTTTTATTAAATGGAAATGTATAAGTATTTCCAAATTTATTACTCATTGTATTCTTAATTTATTTTTTAAATACCAATTATTACTTTTTTGATTTCAAAAATCAAATAAGTATTATTACTATTTTTATATAAAATCCTTTTAATGATTCTTGAATTTTATATTGTATTAATGTTCTACTTATCTTAATCTGTGATAAATAATTTTATTTTTACATTTTTAGTAAAAAAAAAGTTTATTAGGTTTAATTTTGTATTTTTACTTAACACATCTTTATTAGTTAATTGTTTATTTTAATTAATCTTTATATTTTTCAACAAAATTTACCAAAATACTTTTTAGTTATTAAATAATAAATGTAATTGAATTTTAATTAATTTTATTTTGGCTTATTTATCACTATCCTACCTAAGATTGCTTTAAATGGTTTATTGTATTTGATGATTTTAAGTTTAAAAAAATAAAAATCATATACATAATATTAAGTTTAATATTATAATGTTGACCCTTCCCATATGAATCAAAGCATAGCTAATATCTAATTATATATTATTTATATAGGTGTTAACAATATGGGTACTCACCGCTCTGATGATTGAGTACCCCTTGAATTATTTAATAAAACAATATTTCATGTTTATTAAAATGAAGACAAGAACATTGAAAAAATCAAAAATACTTTTAAACATGAAACCAAAATTTTTCAATTTTTATTAGGTATCTCATAGAATATTTTTAATATTTAAAAGTTTACAATATTTTTTACTAAAACTGTTATCAATTTTACTCACAACTAAAAGCTTCTCAAATACCTGATATTTGTGAGTTGTGACTGGGAAAAACACCAAATAGTTTTATGAAAATATGCCACTTATGCTTATTTATATTATATTAATTTTAATTTTTAGATACTCAGTAGAGCGATTGATGAATGTTTTGATTTTTATGAGTTCTTTTAGTTTTTGTATCTGTTATCATCCTGTAGTAATAATGCTCCAATTTTAAACTTAGAGGTTTTCTTTGTAGAAGATTGGATTGAATTGGTACTTAGAGAGTTAGGGTCAAAATTAAAAGTAAAAAATTCCGAGTTGGCACTTTTCAAATAAACCGGAAATAATAAATCACATTTTTACGTAATTTTTGAAAAATTCAATTTAATTTCTTTTTTTTAACTAAAAAAAGAATTAATGTTGAGATTAGAAATTTTTACCGAAAATTCATATTAGCATTTTAATAAACATGAATTAATTTTCAAAATATTAAAAATAACTTTTTTATTCTAATTTGTTTAAATTTGGACCTAATTAAATATTTAAACAAAAAATAATGATTTTAGTTATTTTGTTGTAACTCAAAACTATTAGGTATTTACAAGAACTTAAAATTTATACATATATTCTTATATTGACATTTTCAAAACATGTAAATTAAGTTCATGATATTTTATGATTATATCATTGACTTATTTATATGATTCTATAGTAAGGCGTTTATTGATTCATAAGTTTATAAGTTATAACAATAATACTCATAAATTGTATAAATGAATACTATTACAATAACTAAATGTAAATAATATGATTAATGCAACGTTTTCGGTAAAAATTAATTCAACCTCTATTACAGTATTACCTAATACCTACAATACTAATACCTAGTAAAATAAATTACTATAATAGCAATAAAATAAGTAGCTAGTATATAATTCAATTTAAAATATACCCGGTAATATTTTATATTGAAAGAATGTTTTCGTTTAAAATAATTTGTATGTATAACGAGTCATTTAATAAAAATTTAAAGTACCTACCCCCATTTCACATTTGTGTATTACAATGACCAGTCATTTATTTATTGAATAGATACAGTTGGCAGAGTCGACAACTCTACTGTACAGTAGAGCGATTAACTAGTATTCTCCTTTTTTTTAAAACAAGAAGAATAAAAATTTAATAAAATATTTTATTTATTATAGTTTAAAAATATTATAAATCATATTAAATTGTTATATACAACATAAAAATAATAATAAAATATAATAATCATAATTTATAAAAAATATACTAATTAATTTAATGTATATTTTATACACTGTCACGTATAATAATAGTATATTATTATTTATTGTACTTATAAGAAACACATTTGTTTTGTACTTGCCATTCCTGACTCCTGAGACCAAAATATTAATATACAAATATATTTACTTAGTAGGTACTTTTTTGGTAGCTGGCCGATGTTTGGCCTATATTTATTTTATTTAAATTTAATTTCTAGTCATATGATTAATGCAGTGGTTGAATATTTACTAAAAATTGATATTTCTAAATATCGAGTAATGACCATATTGTTTGAATAGATATTGTATAGTATGTAATTAATACTATAATAAATAATTGAAAAACTAGGGTTAACTGTTGTAAATTTCTTTTATTAAAATAGAATCAGACAATACAATTTGGGCATTAATGATTGGTCATACAATAGACGTGCGCAGAGAAGGGTACCGGTTTTCAAAAACGGAAAGAAAAAATTAAAAACAACTTAGAATTAAAAAAAATAGTTTTGAGTATTTTTTAAAAATGTATTCTACCCAAAAAAAAAAATCGTACGTATATAATAGTAATGGTAATGTTTAAATAAATAGTTGTATTGATACAATCAAATACTAAATGTAAAAAAAAATTAAAATATGTTTATTGTTATTTTTTTCTACCATTATAATATAATCTATATTATAGATTACTTATTATTATTAAATTTAAAAATGAGTTACCTAATCAATAAAAGATAAATTGTAAGTAATATTTATTTGTACATTAATCACGTGTACATGTCTTGTTAAAAAAAAGGTCCAAATTAATAAAAAAAGTGCCCAAAAATATTGTAAGTACCCCCGCCCCCTTCCGAAATTCATGTCAGCGCATGTCAATGGTAATACTTACTATAATAAAATCATGTATTAGTACTGAAGGTTCTAAATAATGTTCTTTGACGGATTAGTGGAAATATTGTACTTGCCTATAAGTTATTTTCTTCGGTTTATAATAATAATCAATATAAATGCGGTTGTAGATAATCGCATCTAATGGATTAGGTCGCGATCTAATAATATGCATAGATAATTTATCAAAATGTAGATATTTTTTAATATCTACAATCGTATTAAATACATGCACAAAAACCTGCAATATTGTTTTTATATTATACATCTATATTTATTTTGTATAACTATGTATATTCACCCCCCCCGGATTTCAAATCCATATAATATTCAGTATTCTATACGAATGTTGATTAGTTAGGTATCAGGTAAATATAAATAATAATATTGTAAAAAAAATACGAAATTGCAGGTCATTCGGTTGATTCGGTTAATCACATAGGTATCTACTCTACCTACGCGCTGTTAAAATAATCATTTTTTGACAGTAGCGTTGCCGTTGGTGAACGGTGATTCTGGATCGACGGCCGGAATGGGACTATTCCACGGTTGAAGTTCGCTAGAGCCGATGAAAATGTACAGGAGTCCCGGGATAGCTATTAGCACGCCGCTCAGGGCGAAAAAGTGTTGCCACGCTTCGAGCGTATTCTGAAACGACGACGATCGATCAGTGTAAGTGTATAATCAATATTTTTTAGTAGTGCGATAAGATTAAAATATAAGTAAATAGGCAGTTACTCACGTTGTCGTTCGTAAAATAAGAGAGCACAAACGGCGATATCATTCCCGGGATGACTCCGGTAATACCGCTGAATCCTTGGAGCACGCCTAAAAACAGGATTAGATATTTTTTTAGACAATTTTTGATTTTTACGAAAAATTTAAAAGTCGTTACACGATTTAATTACTTAGGTGCTATACTATTGTCTATTACGAACTGTATACGACCGAATAATATTATAATATAGTGTGTTGATCGGACTATGAACTATGATTAGCGATTACTTACTGGCGAAATTCGGTGACAAGTCGACCATTATGGACAGTGGTCCGGACGTAGAAGCACCGCTGACTGTCATGGCCAGCAGCAGGAATCCGTTGACCAAAATCGTGTCGCAACCCGAATACACTATGGCCACGATGAGGAGGGCTTGCACCACGGTACAAATGGTGGTCGATATCTTACGCACGCAAGTTCGGCTGTACTGGCCGGTGGCCATGAGCGAGTCGATGGCGAACGACAGGCACAGCGAGAACGCGAAACGGGTGAGATGCGGTAAGCCGGACCAAAGGCCGATCTAGGGAGGAAAAAAAGGATCGAAAATGTATACATTTATGCGTGACTCGCCGTGACTACATATTATAGTGTTTGACCTTTAAGAAATAAAAACGGTTTATTGTCGAATCGACTACAGAGGCTCATTTTGGTTGCACGAATAGGTTTATATAAGTTATAACTATGTGTACATAATAAAGTTCAGCGCGGTTTTCAAACGTTGTACCTGCTCATAATAATATATCAAATACCTAAAAAGTACTACTATGTGCAAGTTAACTGATTGAAACATCATGATACAACTACCTAGTATTTTCATATACGTACATTAAGTTTTGAAAATAATTGAATTTTCCGATAATTGTAGAGGTGGTGATGAATTATGATTAAATGCTAAAAGTGAATATTCACTGGTATACGATAAATACGTTCAATTACACGATTCGCTAAATCTTTGTGAAACTAGATTTTTTGCTAAATACAATGAAACCTCGGTATCTTGAAGTCGCAAGGGACCAAGAAAAAAAAAAATTCGAAAAATCAAAACCTCGAGTTACCGAAGGAATTTAAAACATAAATAAAATTTGAAACAAAAATATTTAATAATTGAGAAAAATGTGTATTTATATATCGTATACATGTTATTAGTATTCGTCATTTGGGTAAGTTTTAAGTTCTAAGTATACATTATTTTCTATGAAAGTAGAATTCTGTCATTTATCGCTTATGTTTCATAGTCAGGGCATTTTATTCTTTATCTTATCTGTCATACCTATATTAGAGTCATTGAATCATAATAAGCGGTGGGTACTAGATAATGATTTCGATTTATAAAAAAATTCGACATATGAAAATTTGATATACCGAAATAACTTAACACGTAAATCCAATACTAAGTGATCGGGATTAAAGAAAAAATTCGACGTACAGAAACTTCGAGATACCGAAGTTCGAAATAGCGAGGTTCCACTGTATATGGTGGTAGTAAATAAAAGCAATATTGACCCAATTTTATCCTTTTAAAACTAAAGTGCTACAAACAGCATCTTTCTCGTAAATATGATCACTCATGAAGAGTAATTTAACTAAATATAGGAAGCTATAAAAATACTATAATAATTAATACGTTAGATATCATTTCATAAATAAACATAGAAGTTCTTTCAAAAACATTTGTTATTACTTAACTATTATAATGTGAGATGTACATTTTACAAGTAACTGTTGTATTTTGTGTCTATTCTCATGCCTAAGATTAGGATTTATATGCAAATGCATATTCTATGATTAAATCTTTTGCATATTTGAATGTAAATGCATACTAATTACATATTTCTGAATAGTTTCATAAATGTTAAATATTCTACAATTATAATAATAATAAAAATCATAGTTTTATTATTATTCATTAAAATAGTCATTTCTACACCTGTAAAAATATCTATTGTTAATCATAAATAAGTAAGATAAGTCATCGATGAAGCGAAAAATATTGGATTTTTAAGTGGTAAATTTATAAATATCTACCTACATGCATTTTCTTTAGATTGTATAATACTTTTGAACGCTATGTCATAAAAAAAAAAATGTTATTTTGCATTTTTTTTTTTAATAAACTTATCTATACAAATATTTAAATTATGTAATATTTTTACTTATAATTATATAGTTTATTAATTTAAAAAAAAATTTTTTTTCATATAAATCTGGGTCGTATAAATGAAATTATTGGCATTTTTAATAATCTCGCACAGTATCTAGGTACGTGACTAACTTGTAATTCTGATTCCAGAAGCGTTTTGTGTGAAAAAAAGCCGATAAAGATTTTATTATGTGAATAATAACGTTGACAAATTAACTCTAATAATATTTACCTTTTCCGGATTCCACCCGAACATTAGTACCAGATAGGTAGGAGTCTGCGTCATGAGTGTGTGCAGAGCCCACCCGGTACTCCATTGGATAGACAGTGCGATCCAGAACGGTACGCACGTCAGCACAGCTTTCCACGGTATTGGTAACTGTAAAACGAAAAACGGAATGAAAATGTCGGACTAACCATCAAATTGCAGTTTGGAACTCATTATTTGAATCGGTAATTTTTGCGCTCGGCTACAATTACGTTCCACGTTTATTATATTCATTTTTCTAGAGGAATTTCTGATTTTGAAAACTAAACAAAAATCTTTTTTCATGTGTAATTTGAAGTCTTATATAAAGTTATTATTAAGATGATAATGATAAAGTGGTAAAAACGAAAATAAGTTATGGTCGATTTATAGGTACAAATGTACAATATGTTATTAGGAAATCGCCAATTTTTTAGTACTTGGGTAATAAAAATTAAATAATTAATTATTCGATATTTACCTTCCCATATAAGTAGGTTAATTATTTTAGAAAAGTATTCCTTTTTATTTCTCTCATTACGAAATTTAAAAATATATTATATTTATTGTGTATATATTACAGTTATATCGGTCGTAAGAAATTAACGTGTTTTTGTGTCATTTTTCATAAAAACTTATATTTCTCTTGAGATAATGAATGGTTTTTTCTGATTCTCATAAGTCATAATCTTATACCAATACAATAAAGTAAAAATACGTAAATAAACTAATTGTCGATTTCGAGTGGACCGTCTAAAATATCTACTCGTATGTTACTCGTATATTAATAATTTAACTTTTGCCTATCTGTCTTAATAAGAAGAATCAGGTAACTTGTCTATACGAACGCCTATCAGGTACGTAATTTTTTAATCAATAGCGCTCTATATCGGTGCGTATTATCTGTTAATTGTATTGTATTAGCAAGTTATTGCTTTATCGCCCGTTTATAATTAAATAAGCTGTGCATAATTGCTTAAGACCATTCTACCTATTTAGTAATATTTAATACCCACTTTTAACATTTATTACCTGTCATTTCCATTACTATTACGCTTATCATGAAAAGAAAAAAAAATATAGCAATTAAGAAAATTAATAATTAATACATAATCAATTTTCAAAAAGGAATTTACTAATTTTAATATGGCTAAGTCATTGAATACCTTGCAAATTTCAATCGACTATTTCCTCACATAATACCTACTTCACTAAACTTGAATCACTCTAAATGAATTTCTCACTAATAAAGCACAATTAAGCTAGAAAATACCCCCACATTAGCCCCTCAAATTAACAATCTCGATGTTTATTTTGAATTCAGAGACAGAATGTCCAGAGAAAAAAATTTTATTTTGTTGAATGTACCAGACTATCAATTTCAATATCTATTTGCAAAGATTTATTAACCGAATTATCTTTGGAAAATATCTAAATCAATAATTGAGCTAAATGCTTAGGTAAATTTGGTTTATAAAATAGGATTCCAATTTCAATGTGTAATTCAAGTTTAAAATTAATTTACGGTCAATTGACTGCTGGTACTTAATTAGTATCGATTACAGGCATTATTAAAGCAGCTACAGTCAGAATTGTTTGTGAAAGAGAATCTGATCAAAACAACTGGTAATAAAAAACATCTGTGGAACTTCACAACTCATTCAAAACAACCAAGTCTTTGCTAGAGGGGTAAAAATGTAAATATTTTCATAATTGTTATAAGATAATTAATAATTTCAGTGTTATTTTTTATCAAAATATACATGGTCTCCGGACAAAATAAAATGAACTTAGATGCAACGTCTCACTTTTTAACTAAAATTTTTTCACGATTACTAAGATATGGTTAAATGAATAAATTTCTTGCAATAACCTAGGTTTCACTGGGTTTGATATTTTTAGGACTGAAAGAAACTTAAATGATATCTTGTATTTGAAGAGAGGCGTTGTTACAAATTTTTATTAAGAATACTTTTTTACTGTTTTTAGCATCCAAAATAGCTGTTCCCTATGTATAAATGTTGAGTAGATTTTTTTGAAATTAAATTGAATTTTTATGAAAAAGTAGTCTTAGAAGCTTGTGACATTCCTCCAAATAGTTCTAGTTTTATGATATACTCTAACCATGTTCAATCAATTGACCTTATTTTATCTAAGTATAATGACAGCTACTATGGGTGACTAAAATCTACTCGAATTTCATATTTTTTCAAATATTGATGGCCTACAATTTGTTGGTAGATACTCTGAAAATTCCGTTATACTTTTTGTCCACCTTACCTTAGATAAATTTGGTCATTTATTAATATATCAAAATTCTAATTAGACCTAGTGCTTTCCAACATGCCAAACATCGACATTTCTCAAAATCATTAATGATCTCTTAATCCTTGTAGACAATTTTCATATTTTCATAAACAATCAATTTCAAGTTGATCAAAAATAATTACATTCATAAAAACTTTCTTATTGATTCATATAACTTCAAGAAATCAAAACATTCAAAAATAATTTAAAAGCTAAACTCCGGTAGATTGGAAATCTTTTTACAATTGCGTTGATATATTGTTTCCGCTTACAATAAATTTTATGAAATTGTTTTTGTAATTATCAATGAATTCATACCAAAAAAATCAATTCTCCATTCTAAATTTCTTAATTGATTCAGTTATAAATTAAAACTATTATTACGGACCAATCGGCTTTACATAAAGCTTATAAACAATTGAAAATTGCAAGTTATTATGAAATATTTGTCGAAATCAGATTACAATATAAAAAACAAAGTAAACATTGTATTCTATTCATATTTAATTAACGTTATACAAACAAATAATAGAGTAGATGCAACCTATATCGATATTAAAAAAGCATTCGGTATAGTTAGCCGCTGGACTTTGGTATTAGAACTTCAAAAACTCGGCATACGTTATATATTATTATCGTGATTTTCGTTCTACCTGTCTAATATATCATTCTGTATTAAAGCAGATAACTATTTATCAAATAACGCTGCTGCTCCACCTGATGTACCTCTGAGAGACTATTTGTCTCCTCCATTTTTGTTAATTCTATTCATGGACGATATTGGATTCAAATTTTATAAATACTTATTATTCACTAATGACTTGAAGATCTTTCTACCTATAAACTTAATCGAGAATTAAACTCTTCTTCAATGTAACCTAGATGGGTTTATCAAATGACATGATTGAAATAGTCTTTCAGTCAACCATTCAAAATATAAAGTTGTTTTTATTCAATTGCCAAAGTAGGTAATAAACCTACAATTATATATAAAATAAATGGTCTAAAATTAAAAATTTCTACCATAAAGGATCTAGGCGTTCGGTTGTCATTATAATTGACATTTAATACTCAAACTATTTTCAGGAAAGCCTTACGTGCTATTGTTTTTTAAAACGAAACTGCTCTGATTTAAAGACACTAAGTGTCTTAAAGTGTTTTATTGCTTTCTTGTGAAGCTAATATTAGAATTTTTTCAGTGATAGGGTTCCCTAATAAAAATAACTTAATTGATAAATTGGATAAAATCCCATGACACTTTTTAAGAGTAATGAGTAATGACACATAAGCTTGGCCGCCATAATGATGTCTCTTTGGAGGCTATTTCCTAGGTCTTGAACCATTAGCTTCCAGACAGTTGTTCAATGAAGTGGCTTTTATGCGTAAAATAATCAATAAAAAAATATCGTGTCCCCATTTCTTAAAAAGAATAAACTCTAAAGTAACTGCTTTTAACTCAATAAATCATTGTTCTTTTTTTAGTTCCAAACTGCTTCACTAATAATGTCAAGTTCAGTCTCGAGTTTAGTTTTTTAGATGAATATAAGTCTGTACCAAATTTTGATTTTGTTTCTTTGATTCGTTAATCAAATTTAAAAAGTGATATTGCTTAACCGAACTTAAATGACCTATTTAGTATGTTTAACGAACAATTATTATGTAAATATGTTGTAGAATAGTTTTGAAATAATTTTATAATATAAAACATTTATTTTTATTTCTACTACTATACTATTTATTTCTTCTCTAGAGTGTTAAAATAAAATTAAATAAAATTAAAAATTAAAATTAAATATATATTTTTTCGTCGAAGTTGTTTTTTAAAAAATCTAAGTAATCACCCTGATAATATTATGGTAAAAATTCTGGTCTAAACGTTTCGTACTTTATATTGTTAAAATAATAATACCTTTGTAGTGGACACTACGTTTGTAAGGCTACTAGTAATTTGCACAAGTTCGACTTCGGATATGTAAGGATGTTGCGCGGGCGTATCGTACACGAACAACCACCATGCCAAAAACCACAATATTCCGATCACACCTGTGGTATAGAAAACGTACGACCAGCCCAATCTCTCCAGTATGAATCCGCAGAACGGAAACGTAATAGCCACGCCGATCGAACTGCCTTTGAAATTAAAAAAAAAAAAAAAAAAAATATTATAAATTATTGTAGGATACAATATTTTAGAAAGAGTGATAGCAACATCATATTATTATTAAATAGGTTTATTATTGTTGTGGCACTAAGATCACAGAGTTACGAGGGCGCCCGCAGAATTATAAGCCGAGAGGGGGGGGAATTCAAAAGTATAAGACTATATTATAATAATATTTAAGCCATGCAAGTAGGTAATAAAACATTTACTACTTAATATTAACTAAAATAGCGGGGGTTGGGGCATGGCCTTTAATACGCAGGCACCCTCGCACACTTATAATAATTTTTTATTAGTTTTTAGTAAGTACTTAGTACATATTATATGGTCATAGGATATATTTTGAACTAAAATATTATAATTCACGTTCTTATAATATATGTAATTTAAAGGCAAATCGTATATAATATTAAAACATAATGTATTTAAAAAAATTATTAGATAACAATGTTTAGATGATTTATTTAAAATAAACTGTAATGTTTGTTAAGAAATACGCATTAATCTTTATAAACACACAACGAATCAGAATATTTTATTTTTAATATTTTGATTTTGTTTTAGTTAACAAATTTTAATTTGATGACTATGCATTTATAGGTTGTTACTAATACTTTTGAAAGAGTATAAAATATAAAATGTAAATAACAGTAAGAACATTATTGTAATGCAACAACTTCCTTGCCACAAATCACAACCATATTATAATAATGATGTATTAATATTGCAGTCACTTTAAGTTAAAATTTAAAAAATGTGAATAACAGGTTTAAAATATTAAATAATGATAAAATTAAATATTAATTTAAATAATGACCAAAATAGGCAGTAATGAATTTGCTCCTCTTGTTCGGCGGTACCCAATGCGCGGTTAGATGATGTACCGACGGCCATGCCATACCCTATAATTAATTGACATACAACTATTATTATTATTATTAATTATCAATAAACTATAATATAATAATATAAATAATAATTATTATTAAATGTATTTATCATGAATCATGATTTATAGTATCATTACAGAATATAATATTACTAATAAAATATTATGTTTAAATTGGTATGAACTCTATACGAGTAGGTAGTAGGTACAGTCGCGATCGGAAAAAGCACAATAATAACATGTAAATATCAATATTACATAAAATAGTTTATAAATAAATAAAATTTACTGTAAAAAAAAATATTATATCGCCATTAACTAAATGCTTATAAAATTTAATTTATTCGTACAAATACTTAATAGTTTATGAATATTGTTTTGCCAGATAGTACATAAAATATATCGTCATATAATACCAATACGCAAACGCCCCCGGACTTAATTATTTTCGTAACAATCATAATATTATACTTTATAAATTATTTTTTTACTCTCATACTGTAATATTATCAAATGGGTATAATTTAATTTGATTTAAATTTTACAAGTAGACAACAAATCTAAGTAATTTAAATTTTAAAACGATCAACCAAATATCCAATGCACAGTGTAACGAGTTATATAGGTATAAATTATACCAGATTTCATTATTACTGTAGTCAGATAGTATAAAATCAGGATCGAATACAAAAAATATTGGTATACGTTTTTCCATTTTTATATTATTTTCTATCTATACTCGTATATCTCAATATTATCATTTTCATTAGCATTTACGTCAGTAGAAGGCACAAAACATAGGACCCTTCAGAAAAAATTCTCCCATATCTAATATCGCTACATGCTTCGGTTCTGTAGTCGGTTATGCTACTGTCTAAATCAGTGATTCTTAACCTTTTTATGGTCACGGCGTATTTTTTATAACTATATAGTTTGACGGAACACTGTAATAATAAAATAATAAGAAGCCAACAAAAAAATATATTTTTATTTTAATTATTATTTTTATTATTAATTTATTATATAATTAAAAACTAATACCTAATAACACTAAATCTAAATGCATGAACCACGGTCGCGGTACGTCTATAACCAGTTCGCGGCATACAAGTGTGTCGCGGAACACCGGTTGAGAAACACTGATCTAAATCATAAAATCAAAAAAGTGTAGCACTTACCCCGATGAACCCTTGTAACACTCGGGCTATGATAAGTCCTTTTATGTCCCACCGGGCGAGGACCGGCATTAATAGTGACATGACGAACATGAACAAATTACTCAGACCAAAAATGCGTTTAGCGCCAAATTGTCGCGCGAGCAGCCCGCCTGGTAATTGTAATGCCCAATGCAACCAATAAAATGATCCGAGTACGCTGGCCCGTTCACTGTCGTTCCACTCGAAATCTGTCTGAAATAATAAAGAAATCAATGATTGATTTTGCACGCTTACAACTCGCCGCGCGTTTGATAAACTACAACGGCGTGATTAAATTACTTTTTTGACGACGAAATCTTTTCTAGCGGTTAAATTTGAACTGACTGTTGAATTGCCACACATCAGTATACTCTGACCTCGGCTCTTCGCCGTGGTCATGTCCACTATGGCGATGTTTAGATTGATACGTATCATGTAGTTGCACGCGAATCCGGCGAAAACCAGGAACCATAGTGAAACGGTAGCTGCAACGATATAAATACGACGTGATAAATAATAATCATAGAATATTATTTATATTTCAATCATAACTATTATGAGTATGTTCTTTAACGTGACTTAAATTGTTTACTATCAAATAATATAATCATTTAATTTAGTTCATTTGATTGATTTGGTCATTTGTATGGTGGTACCATATTAATTATTATACTATGTAGTGTAACTTGTACATATATAACTATCAAACATCATCGCGATTATTCTGTAATTTTTGTAGACATTTTTAAAAACATTAGTCAATTTACGTATACGGTATACAAAACGATATTTATGTTGTGTACCCAATAAATTTATACAATAATATCAATATACCTATGTACGTTACACACAAGTGGGTCTGGCGATACAATTAATCAACCAATTACAAACACAAACATGCTAAGGCCAGCGTAAAGAGTGTAGTGCACATTATCGTACTATTTCAATAAAATAATTTAACATAAACTATACGTCTAAGACGTAACGTCTCAACGGAGAAAAAAAGTTAAGGTCGATAATCACCGCAAAAGGTAACAGGTCGCTAACGCTAAGCATACCAAATTATATTGTTAAGCCTAAATCGCCATAATCAACTTTTCTCGATAGTATCATATGTAAGGGGTCCGTCAAAAGAGCTCGTTTAAAGGTTTGCAGTATGATGGGTAAGCAACCGTATAGACGATTAAGGATATTTAAAAGCACCGTGAGGCAGGCCGTAACACCGCTAATAATCTTAAATATTATAATCTGAATTGGGTGATAAACCGCTATCACAATTGCTTAAAATGTTGACTTACAATTTGTAACATGTAATTTTATTCAAAGTTATTAAGTTGAATTAATATAGTTTATCATCTATTATAATATACCTATTTAGCTATATTAATGGACAAACAAAAATTGTTCATATTCGCGGAGATACAATATAGATCTTTCAAGTGTTGGATCATTACTACATTATGGTTATTTGTCGTTATTATTATTTTACATTAAGCTTATTATAAACACCAAGTTTTCAAAAAAAAAAAATATTTAATACTGCAACTTTGTAACAATTTCGATAATAGATGCATTTCATAATTAGGGGCTAGAACTAAGGTCAAAATATACAATTACAAGAACTAATAAAAATGACCTTTAAAATGCATATTGACCTATTAATTACAGTCAGAAAAAATACCAAACCGGAAATTTATTGTTACAATTAACACGTTTTTCCAGATCAATACATATAGATATAATATTTGGTATTTTTTAAGTTTGAGTGAGTTAATAATAATAGTGTAATACGCTACTTGATTGAAGTCATAAATATTCATATCGTAAAAACAGTAACAATATTTTTTACTAAATTATTATTGGGTACAGTGTACCTACTCGAATTCGAAACCGAAATGAGTATTTAAATAAAATTATGCAAGACAAAGAACATTACTTTTAAGCACATCATTGGTATTATTCGTAATGATGTATCTATAATTACAATAGATATATAACTTCTATTTTTTAAATATTATTTAAATTGTTAGATTTTTTCCGATGCATTTTTATATAATTAAATTATTAAATATATTTTAATAAGTATAATTTTCAACAACTCCGTAATTCCTATCGCATCCGTTACTCGGATATGTTTTTAAAGAAACTACTTGGAGGAGCCACAACATAAAAGTAAAGCAATTTATTACTCAAAGATACAGTAACCTATATTTTCTATGAAATAAAAAAAAATCAAATATCAACCTTAATAAATTAATTATTTGTAAACCATTTGCTGATCAGGTCTTACGTCATTAAATTGTAAAAAGCAGCCAACTCATCAAATTTACAAAAAAATCCAGCTATTTCAATTAACTCCACCGAAAAACAGTACCCCTTTTTACATCTCTTATCATACTCTGCACATTTACCTACACACAGACACAATATTTGAAATTGCATTCACTTTCTATGAAAAATTTCGATCTCGCTAAATCAACTATTCAAGCTCCCACATTAGAAATATCAACTCAAATATTATCCCAGGAAACCCAGTTAGATGTTTAATTCGTCAATGGTGCAATAAAATCTCATAAATAAAAACTAATACTTAATTAATATCAGGTAAATCTAATCAAACTATTGAGTAATTTTTTTTATCATTCAATTATATGTAATCCGCACCACACATACCATTCATAAGCTTATTGTAAAAAAATAAATAAAATAATGATTTATAGATTGGGAATTTTTTATTAAAAATTAAAATTGTAAAAAAATATATCATATATACTATATACACATCAATAAATTAACTATCAAAATTTTATTGAGCAATCAGTGTAAAAAATATTTACTAATGATAATTTAAATTATACGTTAAAAAAATATGCCTATGTCGTTAATATACCTACATTGATAATGTGTATAATCATTATCTAATCGGTGTTTTATTATATAATCTTAAATATGATACCCGTAAGCAATGAAGAATGATGTAGGTTTTATTATTGATTTATCAACCAAATTAATACACGTATTAATGACGTGTATTTTTATTTTTTTATACTCAAATGCGGCTTTTTAATATTTTAAATATTTTTGTATTACTGAGTACCTACCGATATTATTACAATATTAAAGCGGGCATTTAAACAAGTTTTGTGATGGGCACGCCCATCTTATTAAAACAATATTAAATCAAATTATCGATATAAATTTAGTATTTAAATAAAAGTGATTTAACTATGAATCGCTAGTTAAAATTGAAATTATAATAAAAATATTTTAATTCGTATATTTTTTATTATTATCATTAAAAATGTAACTAACAATTTTTACATCCGGGAAAAATAAATACTCAACAAAGTCCCTGTTAAAAGTCAATTTTTTGCAAATCCAAATTAATTCTCAGTATATTGACTGCAATTAATTTTCAAAATTAATAATTAGCCATTTCCAAAATCATCATGAGGACCACTGCTATAAACTAATGAGAATGGCTAAAATATACGGATATACGACAAAAACTACGGCGTGTACACCAATTATAATCCACACTTACAAAGAAATAGAGATTTAAAGTGAAAATAATGAAGAAATAAAATAATATAAATGCACGTATTTTACAAGTAAAGCGACACTCTCAAATAATATTTTTGTTGAAATTTAAACAAAACAATTTCATGCATTATTGTTTTACAAAACTATTAACATTTTAGTAACTCCTGAAAATGTTATTACTCATTTGTATGGGTTACATTACTTGGTCTTTTCACCGTCAAATTATTGTCTTATCAACAAAGAGAATGAGAATTAATACTTATTTGGTGTCTATTTCATTATAAGCATAATTTCATTGATAATTAAATTATTGGAATTCAATTTGGGATTTTATTTTAGCTAATTGGAAAAATTTGAGAATTTGCTGTAATGATATTCTGGGATCTGAATTTATTATTCAGTTAATCAAAGAAAAACTATAAATTATAAATAAATGCACAGACATGCATGGTGTTTAAATTGTATTACACTTATTGAGAATTTATAAAAAATAATCAAATCAATATAAAAAATAAACTATACATAATAATAATATATTTAATAATTTTATCAAATATGTTAATGATGTTAACGTAACAGTTTAATTAAAAATAATAAGTTGGTTATTTTGGATCTTGTATAATTATTCAGAAATATTCTTCTAATACTAAATTTAATCAAGAATATAACCATTTTTAATAATATAAATTAAATGATTTTGAATATTCATATTTTAAAAGTAATTTATTTCAATTACTAAATACATCTTAATAATAAGTGAAATATTTTAAACTGTGTATTTTTATAATAATAATAATAATAATAATAATAATATAATTATGTATTTGAATTAAAGATATAAAGTTTGTTGCAATTTTAGAAATATTTTAAACAGTTTGTAAATCGTTTCATGTACATATAATTTCATACCAAATGTTATTAAACTTCTAAAAATTGCAGTACTAAGTAGGTACTGTAGCAATTATAAAACAATACATGTATAATATACATTTATACATGTAATTTGAAATTATTAAATTGATATAATGTATTAAAAAAAAAAATTTATTTTATTTTTAAAATATTATTTATTTATGCAGTAACGACATAAAAATATGATTTATGTACCTAACGCTATTTTACTATATTTAACTTTTATTAAAACGTATTAAAATTGTTAATATATTAACTGTATTAACTATATTCACTTAATTTTTTTTTTTATTAAATCAAAAACATTTAATGAATATGTAATGTATTTTATTCCATAACTTTTATGCTAATTTGTATATAGAAAATATATTAAACACAAAGAATATTGTATTTTGAGGAAAATACTTAGTAAAATATCAACTATAAAAAATATGTAACTGCATAAAAATATGATTATTGTAATACTGGTTTATTATGTTTTACTAATATTAAAATATATCGAAATTGTTAATATATTTACTTTGTTGTTTTTTTTTTTTTTTATTAAATCAAAAACATTTAATGAACATGTAATATATTTTATTTCATAACTTTTATGCTAATTTTTATTGAAAAAATATAGTTAACACAATTAATATTGTGTTTTGAGGAAAATACTTAGTAAAATATCAACTATAAAAAACATGTTTACAATAATTAACCAGTATAATATCTAAACAAAAAATTTAAATCCAAAATAATTTTTTTTTATTATTTATTGACAATTGACGTTTTTGTGGATATAGTGAAAAACAATTTTATCCTCACACGCTCAGTTTATAAATTAAAAATGTTTTATAATAATTTAAAAAAATTAATTAATTAGTTATTAAAAATTACTAATCAGTAATTACTAAATTAATTTCATAAACATTGTATAAAATAGTTTCTTCAGTTTTTAATGAAATAAAAATATTAAATTACAATCTATTTTTCAAGGAATTAAGTGTTTAGTATACTCAAGTATTAATACTAATACATAAGCTAAGGC